AGAGGAGTGTGTCTATTTTTGCAATAACAAAGCTCTACTTAAAGAGGGNCTTTTTTTTGGAGGGGGAAGGGAGAGGAGTGTGTCTATTTTTGCAATAACAAAGCTCTACTTAAAGAGGGTTCTTTGAATTCAAAAGTATAAAGAAAGAGAAAATAAAAGGGAAAATACTGGGCGTCCCAAAAAAATGTATACAGCCAAGCTGGCATGGCTCAGCGGTCGAGCATCAGCCTAGGATCCAGGAGATCACGGTTCTATTCCAGGTCAGGGCACATGCCTGGGTTGTGGGCCCGACCCCCCAGTGGAGGGCGTGCAGGAGGTGGCTGGTCAATGACTCTCTCATCATTGATGTTTCTCTCTCTCCCTCTCCTTTCCTCTCTCTGAAATCAACAAAGATATACACACTTTAACAGCTAATAGCTCAATTTTGAAAATGAAAAGTACTTTTAAAACACTGCCTTTATAATTACTCAAAGTGTGTGTATACATTTTTGGGGGGCATCCTATATATGAGAAACATTTTGCAATGTTTCTTTGAAACATGAAAGGAGAAAATTAATAAGGAAAATTAGCCTATGACTTCACAACTCAAATTTCAAGACTAGCACCTGTTAAAGAACAAAGTCTGTGGAATAACGTTTAAGGAAAAGGGTGGAGATTTTGAGTCCTACAGCATGAACTAAAACCCAATTCATCAGTATCAAATATTCTCAAATACCACTCACCAAACATCCATGTGGCCTGTAACAAAATGAACAAATAATCCTAGTGGTAAGATTTTTATAGATATTCTCTCATTTTACAGAAAAGGCAGGACCCAGAGAGGTTAAGTTACTTACCAATTATCACACAGCATTTGACAGGTCTGGAACTTAAACTCAAGTCTATGTCAATCCACTTAATAAACTGTCATCCATTTTCTCAGAGTGGATGTGAATTCGAAATGCAATAATTTATTTTAAAAATATGTTAAGTATCTTACATATAGTTGAAATTGAAATCATCTTGTTAAGGTCTTCATTTATAAGGATCCTTCCAAATACTCTTACTAAAGACATCTACATCCTGAACCAGAGATCAAGGAGCATATGTAACTCCTACTGGAATAGTCATGCATGAATTAACCAAAAGTGCATGCCAAAATTCTCACCAGAAAAGTTATTAACTAAGATGAAAACATTAGAAGACGCTTAGAAATGTATTGATTATACTGGAAAGTATAAACCATTAATTGTATTGATTATACTGGAAGGTAAGAAACCATTAACTATTAATGAAAATAACATCAAAGTTCTAAAAATAAAGCTGAAATGGATAATGGCTACACTATTGAAACAGTCGGTAGACAGAAGGAAAGGCGTAGTTTCAAGATAGGGAAGGTGAGGACTTTCTCAGGCAGAAAAATAAAAGTGAGAAGGGGCAAGATGGGGGGGGGGCTCCTTGCTGAATCTAAGATAGAACTAAGCAGGCTTCGTGTCCTTTAGTCACACTCCTATCTTACTATCCCGGCAGCTTCAGACAGCAGGCATTTAGCAGCTGCAGCCCAGCCTGAGAGCATCCTCTCCAAGGGACAGAAGGTGGCTTGGTGAGAAAAAACTAGTGCCGTCATGTGACTTTAAGGGTCCCTCTGCTTCAAATCCTTCGTATTTGGCAGGTGATGCTGGGAATTCTATTAACAAGGAATAAAACGCTTTCCTTCCACAATGAGAAGAGTAATTATCAAATGTTAAAGTACAGTCATGCTTCGCTTAAAGACGGAGATACATTCTGAGACACGCGTCATTAGGCGACTGTGCTTTCGATATTGTGCAAACATCACAGGGTGGACTCACACAAGCCTAGATGGCATAACCTACTACACCCCTAGGCTACAGAGTAGGACCGGCTGCTCCTAGGCTAAAGCCTGTCCAGCATGCCACTGCACTGAATGCGACGGGCAATCGTAACACTATAGTATTTATTTATCGAAACATATCTAAACACAGAAAGGGTACAGGAAAAATACGGTATAAAGGATAAAATATGGGCTCTGGCCAGTGTGGCTCAGGTGGCCGGAGTATTGTCCCGTGCGCTGAAGGGTCAAGGGTTCAATTCCCAGTCAGGGCACTACCCACATTGCAAGTTCCACCCGTCAGCCGAATGCAGGAGGCAACTGATGGGTGTTTCTCTCTCTCCCTTCCTCTCTCTAAAATCGGTAAAAACAGCCCTAGCTGGTCTTGCTCAGTGGTTAGAGCATCAACCCACGAAATGAAGGGTCTCAGATTCAATTCCGGCCAAGGGCACGTACCTCGGTCGCAGGCTCCATCCCTGGCCCCCGTCGGGGCTCGTGCAGGAGGCAACCAATCGATGTGTCTCTCTCACATCAAAGTTTCTCTCTCTCTCTCCCCCTTCTACTCTCTCTGAAAAGCAATGGTAAAAACATCCTCAGCTGAGGATTAAAAATAAACAAATGAATAAATAAAGTCAATAAAAACATATCCTCAAGTGAGGATTAAAAAAAACATTAAAAGATAAAATATGCTACACATGCATAGGGCACTTACCATGAATGGAGCCTACGGGACTGAAAGTCACTTTGGATGGGTTGGAGAGCGAGTGGTGAGTGACTGTGAAGGCCCAGAACATTACTGTACACTACCGTAAACTTTATAAACACTGTACACCGAAGCTACACTAAATTTATAAAACAACATGAGGTTAAATCAAGTACAAGACAAAATATACAATCAAGAGACACGATAAACAGGAGATACATGAGGCTGCTGCTGGTGTTACATGGCATGCTATTTTACAGCAAACTTTAAGTAGAAAGTACACTCAAAAATACAATAAAAACTATTGTAGTGTAAATACATAAACCAGTAATACAGTCGTTTATTATCAAGTACTATGTACTGTACATAATTGTATGTTCTATACTTTTATACAACTAGCAGCACAGTAGGTTTGTTTACACCAGTGTGACCACAAACACGTAAGGAATGTATTGCACTACAACTTTAGGGCAGCTACTACGTCACTAGCAATAGGAATTTTTCAGCTCCATTATAATCTCATGGCCCCGCCGCTATTGACCAAAATGTTGTTGTATAGCACATGACCGTAATATACTCTCATCACAAACCTAAGAATCTTAGAAAGACAGCAGGTTGTATATTTAAGTGCGTAAGGCCAAAGTAACAAGGCAGGGTCTATACATTCAAGAAACTTACACTCTCAAGATTTCTTCACTTAGGAAGGGAAAAACAGATCTAAGAAGAAAAATCACCTGATACTCACAAGGCTAGATTCAAAAATCATAATAAAGTGCACCACGTTACTAGTAAAATGATGTACATTTCAGAGCTTTCATCACAGCTATGTAAGTATTTTCAACTTTTGAAACACTGAAACTGTTCTCCAGCAGTGAAGAGAAATGTCATTTGTAGACCATTTGGCCCCACCAGCAAGAGTTGGCTCAGCATTTAGCACTCTGAGGTGGGGAAACTTTGTGAAGAGGCATCATGCTCACTAAGAGGCCAAGAGGAGGCATCATGCTCTCTAAGAGGACAAGAGGCTAAGTCCCAAGACCTCAAGCTGGATTTGCAAACCCAAAGGAAAGAGAGTTCACATTTGTCTATACACAGGATGGAAAGAAGTTCAGATAAATTATATTTTCACAAATCAGTAAATACTGTTATCAGTAGTAGCCTCAAATTCAGAAATTAAGTGAATGTGGGCATCAAACATATTTTCTTTACCCAGCTAAGTAACATAAGTGATAAGTAAATGTTCTAGCATTTTGGGATGGTTAAAATAAAAAAGGATTTGGAAGCACACTGATTTTAATACATTTTGCTAAAGCTCCATCCCTACGATTATTAACACATGCTTCACAGTACTGGTCAGATGCTAATGTTGTCTTTTTCCGGCACCATGTGGTTACTGACCCTGCACTCGACATATACAATGACGCTTCCCCTACAACACCTGTCCTGGGGATTGCTAGATCACCGAAAGGCCTCTCCACCTTATGAAAATACTACTCACCAGCCGTCAGAGGCCAGAGGTACAAGGTTTCTTTTCAGTGGCTAAAGCATTGAGAAGNTCACCAGCCGTCAGAGGCCAGAGGTACAAGGTTTCTTTTCAGTGGCTAAAGCATTGAGAAGTCTCTATTAAGATGTAAATATGTCATGGGAAGAGTAACAAGCCTCTCCTTTAGTCACTCAGTTATCTATAAGAGAAACTCTGGAGTTTCTTTTCCTAAGACTTCCTAAGGTCTTAGTAATTACAGTGAAGATCCCGATCCCGGGGGTGTGGGGCAGGAGGTGGGAGAAACCCCTAAGGGCAGTCTTTACTTCCTATAGATGATCAGAAGTTCTGACTGGCCTTCAGCCACTGAACTCACATCCTCGGTGACTCCACCAACACCAGATTTGCAATGCAAACCAAAAATTAAGATGAACGATAACCCGTATAGAGATAAAATGGTCCATGCCATCTTCCATCACCTTACTAAATGGCAAAACTACAAAGGCATATTTTTTTAAAAGCCAACTCAGTGATTAACTGTGCCCAATGATGAGCCACTGATAGACATAAGAAATTAATCATATTATTTGAATATCACTAAACAAAGCAGCTTCGTTCTACCTTAAGGCAAACTCTTGAATACTTCCTTAAGGATTTAAAAAAAAAAAAAAAGAAAGAAAGAAAGAAACAATAGTCCCCAGCATTTTTTTCCAGGAACGTTATACAAAAAGATGGTTTTTGTACTTTACTCAGGATACATTCCAGGGTCCAGTGGAGAACTTTCCCTTCTCTGTAGGCATGGAAGTAACATGCCTAAGAACACCTAAGAACAAACTTTGTTGGCCACCAGCAGGGGACCTCTTCAGCTTTTGTCCCCAAACCCATTCAAACAAAAGAAGCTGCGTCTGCTCCATGCCCACTCCGCAGACGCGCGCCCCGGGGCACAGCCCAGACCCCGCGCCCTCTCCGCCCCCACCGCCGGCTCCACTTACTCCTCAGCGCCCCAATGAGCAGGGAGCCGTCCTTGATCAGCTCTTTGATGAACTTGTTGGTTCTCTCCAGCTCAATCTCGTGGCACTGCAGGCGCTCCCTGAAATCCGGGCTGTCCAAGTAGGAATCGCTGAACTCCAGCGTAGGCAGCCCCATGGCACAGGCACTGCCAGCGGCCGCCGGGGACACGTCCGGGCCGGCGGTCAGGGCGGGGACAGTCGGAGACCGTGGCCTGCGCTGCGACGCGCGGTCGCGGGGAACGCGCCGGGACGCGAGGGG